GGAGGGGTGTTTGGGGGGGGGCTGTGGGCCCCCGGCGGCCTCTTGCTGGCCATCCTCTCCCTCTCCCTCTCCTCGCAGCCGTTGCAGGCGGCGGGCTGGCCGGGTCTGGAGCGGCTGACGGCGGGCTGCAGGAGGAGCGTGGCGTGGATGCTGGAGGCGCTGGAGGGGCTCCCGGAGAGCGAGCGAGCCAAGTACCTCGACGTCACCGGTCAGTGCCGGGGCGGCTGGTGGGACCAAACCCGTCTCCTCGGGTCGAACGCGGTCGCAGAGCTCAGGGTCTGTGTACCCGGGGAGCGACGACGGGGTTCTCTGCCATGCAAAGTACATGGCTGGTGGGGCCAGGGCGGAGGATGACGGTCCCTGGCTGGACAAGGAGAGAGGGGTCGTTCTCTCTCCGTCACATCTTTAATATTTGGGTTTCACTTGTGGCAGTGTTGTGCACGTTCAAGCTGGCCTACCTCTTCTACAACCAGAACCTTCACGAGGAGGCCAGCTCCGTCTGCGAGCTCTTCTGCGAGAGGCTGGAGACAGCAGATGCCTATGCGTGTCCAGAGATACCCCCGGAGAGGGTAAGCACTTCTCTGATGCTTCTGGCACAAACGGGGCTGAACTGAACGGTCTGATCCTGGTGCCAGGGGAGCAAAAGAGAGGATGGGACCAGCTTTTGCTCCTGGAACAACCCCAATTCCCTGCTCCGAGGTCTTCCCTTCGCCCGGGCGGGGAAGGGGGCTGTGGTACGGGACATGGGAGGCAGGGAGTTTGCTCCCGCAGGGTGCTGAAGCTGGTTCTCTGTGCTCTCCCCGCAGCTGCACAAATGCTTCAGGCTGCAGGTGGAAAGCCACCGCAAGCTGGGGCAGCTGGAGAGAGCCCTGGCGTGTGTGGTGCAGTGGCTGGCCGCGCTGCGGGGCCGGATCGGGGAGCTGCTGGCAGAGCCCGTCTCCCTCTGGGTCAGAGTCAAAACGGATGCTGCGAAACAGGGGGCCGAAGAGTTACGGTTACGGTAAGTCCTGGAAGGCTGCCCGGTGCGTGGAGGGTGGGTGTCTTGAGAGCCGCGGTTCCCAAGCTAGTAAAATGAATCATAGAATCGTAGAATCATTGAGGTTGGAAAAGACCTCTAAGAGCATCGAGTCCAACCGTCGACCCAACACCCCCA